GATGAAAAACCTTTAATCTAAGTCATAAAAACGTATTAGACACATTTCAGATCAGGCATTCATTGTCTAATCGAAACTCGGTTATTCTGTCATGGTCATAGGAATCGCATTGAATTCGATGAGGGAATTCTTAGTGGAACTTTCAAATCCTGAGTTTTTCTCCTGACGATACCCAATAGAATATTCGTGAATTCCTACACATTTCTCATATATCTCCTTAGGCGTATGAAAGTTCGTAAAATACTTTTTCAATTGAAAGTGGCACATTTTATTGTTTCAAACCACTATAGTGCCTGATACAAACTCCCTCATGATCCATATACGTATACGCTTATAAATTACATCAAATATCATCGAATCATTTTGAAACTTCATGTGCCAGAGATAACGTAACCATATTCTACATAAATTGGTTATAGATTCTTCAATACTGATATTTATTCTATATCTTTTTATGAGACTTCATAAAGTATTTTTGGCAGGGATATACCTATACAGGATGTTAATTATTTGAGTGACGATATAACAAGATGTGGATCGTTAACTGATTTTGGGAGGAAAAGGATATATGTCCTATACCTCTTGGTTTTTAATCTACAGGGTGTTAGAATTTTAGAAAAAAACTGAGTTTTTCATCATAATTTCTTACCACTGTCAGATATTTCCATGAAATTTGGAACATACCCTTTCATCATCATAGAGCAATTTTTTATTTCTCAAAATTTCCACCAGTAACGTCCGTACGGGGTTTGAACTGACAATTTTCAGAGAGAAATTGGTAGGTACGCTTCTGATTTTCTCAAAATGAAAAGAAATTAGATTTTAGCTCACGCAACCTGGAACTAAAATCTACTACTTTTCTGCCTTGTATAATAAATAACTATTGTTTCGGGATGAAAATCAATTTATTTCTTTAACCATCAGTGATGTTCACGAAGACCTGATATTGAATGTTTTGATTTGAAAAAACTGTACGCCTCTGATGTTAACACTCTGTAGCTCAAAAACTGAGAGGTTTGGGATATACATATATGTTGATATGAACTTTCCTCCTTGGAATCACCCGAGGATTCACACCTCGTATTATCGGCACTCAATTAATTAACACCCTGTATATAGGTTTGCCCGAATGCCCAGCATTGGCGTATTGAAAGATTGAGTGAAAAAATCGGTTGTGTTTCCCGGCAACACGAAAGTTAATGAATCTATGAAGGCCCAATACTCATTTGCTTCACTGGAAAGTGCCTACTAGAGTGTGAAAGGCCAAAAAATGTTCGCCGTTGAAGTCATTCCCCCAGCAATGTAGATATTGGGCCAATAACTTTCCGGTACTTCATTGTTCGTTGGGAAGATACCATATCACCTGGCAGTATGTCTCCTACCACCAGTCGATTATACATGGAGAAAAAAATTGAAATTCCCAAGAAATCACAAAACGAATGTTCTGCTGAAGAAATACAACGAATCATTCCAAACAAAACTCATAGCGACTTGGGTCGTCTTTCAAATTTGAATCCCATTCTCTTTTATCTCTCAGAGCATCCAGGAAGGATAGGGAGAGGAAGTATGACTTTTGGAACCTTGATATATTTCGAAAGATATTGAATTCAGGAGTAGATTGTATCTGATAACATTTTTGTTCCCAAATAATCGAATAATCGTGTCGACTATTCAATAATTCATAAGTCAATTGGGAGGATTTCAAAATGTTTTCAATATAACGGTGCTACGGCTTTGGCACTGCACTGCATATAAGAACCTGGAGCAAAGGAAATAATAAAATGTAATAATCAGGAATCTACCCGTTATAGTTCATCTATCGGTTAAACTTGAGAGTTGATGACTATATACCTACTCGATTCTGGAAATATTCATTTTCAACTGTTCAAACATTCTCTAGACCCCAATTGAATATCTATATTTTTCTGAATATTCTGCTGGGGATCATGAGAATAATAATTTTCACAATAATCCATTGATACCTCACATAAATATCCAAGGTATGCTGAGAGCGAGGCTGAGAGCATCCTCATGATGTATACTGAAGAGATGTGCATAAAATATTCACTAGATAATATGAATACTTCATGGGATCCAGAGAATATTCTGAAGAACGATATTTCCATATTGCTCAAAGTGGAGTGGAATTTTTCAAAGGATATTTGGGGTTGTTTTAGAATGAATTGTGAGTGAGACCTCGAAGTTTTTCCTACAGCAGCTTGCGTTAGTTTTTGAGTAGGTAATCAAAAGGATTGATTTCATATCATTTTAAATGTTTTATAGAGTTCCTGATGAAGAGCCAATAAAGACTCGAAAGCTTAAACAGAAACAATAAGAGAGAGTAGGTACACTTATAGTTTTCCTTTGACTGCACACTTGAAGAAATTCACAAGTTTGTCCAATAACTATGAGTAGGTATACGAATAATTAAAATCATTCTATTTTATTCATTGTCGATCGAACGAACCGCCTAGATCAATAAACGGTGTGTAAATTTGTAAAATGTATACCTAACTTCCAGTGGCGTCTGGAGGGGGCGAGGGCGCTCGCCCCCCCCCCCTATCGCCTGGCCCTTACTCAGATACTGCATGTCTGAACAAGGTACATTTGCATTATTGAATTCCTATTCTGATTAGCGCTTATTATAGTGACTTTCTGAGACTCTGTTTAATTAGTATTCATTGACATCTTATAAATAGATATAGAGTTGATTTTATCAAAGAAGTAATTCATACATTTGCTCAAGACTCTATAAGAATGCCATTTTTGTTCGAACAAGATTATGATTATTATCACTTCAAATTTTTTATTCTAATTTTGGCTGTAAACAGAATAGCTAATTCAATTAATTTCCTTTAGTTTTATTCCATGTTTTATGTAGGATAATAGTAGATTATATATCGAGGGAGTAGAGTGCATTGTTTTTCCCGAGATGGTTTATAGCCGGAGGGTGCTACAATGCACTGAGGGAAAAAAGAACTCACGTCCGAGGTTTATATATTATTTTTTGCACGACTCGACCATTTTAATTGGAAGAATCTTATGATAAAGTCAATTATTGTCAATTTGGAAATGTACCCAAATCTGGAAACAAAAATCACAAAATCAAGTTTGATTATCATGACTACCGATAATAATATTAATAATAAATATCGCAGAAATGTGTGAAAATACCATTGAAGAAGCTGCTGCAAACATAGCCGGTGCTACAATGCACTGAGGGAAAAAAGAACTCACGTCCGAGGTTTATATACTATTTTTTGCACGACTCGACCATTTCAATTAGAAGAATCTTATGATAAAGTCAATTATTGTCAATTTGGAAATGTAAATCTGGAAACAAAAATCACAAAATCAAGTTTGATTATCATGACTACCGATAATAATAATAATAATAAATATCGCAGCAATGTGTGAAAATACCATTGAAGAAGCTGCTGCAAACATAGTGGTAGATTTATTGCCAGAAAAATCCCGGAAAATATTTTATCGCAAAGAGTACCTACTCTTTATACCCTGTATTCCCGCTTTTGTCGGTGTAAAATCGCTTGTAGGTCGTGTGAAACTGTTTTTTTATGTACTGAATATTGTACATTATAATTGTGGCTTGCCGCCCCCCCCCCCTGATGACTTATTTAACCATCAACTGCTAACTGCAATTCAAAACCTTCCCAATTGCATAATATCATCACATATCACCATATCACCACTGTATGTTACAGAGTATATTTATTGGTATTATTTGTCATTTGGACGTGACCTACAACAAAATACCTGTTACAGAAGTCAAACACCAACAAATATGGCGACCGAGGTGCTGGCTTTTGTCGAATGCAAGTTTGCGACTGTGCGTAGGCATTTCATGAAATGGCGTCTCTCCATGGAAACACAATGTAGCATTTTGTATTTTTCAGCTATATTGCAATTGATGATCAAATATGTGTTGCATCTCATAAGTTGTAGCTTTATTGTTTGTTGTTAGCTAATGTTATTCACAAACTCAGTGAAGTATCAATTTTAATGCAACATTACAATTGAAAATTAACTGTTAGTTCCATATGTAACGTCGCACTGATATTGTTCGTAGTTAGTCCATGTAATGGTGGTTATGCAATTTAAATGAGGAAATGTAATGGCAATGTACCTTACAAACAATTTGTCAGTAGGTTTTTCTGTTATATTGTCAGTTAAGTGTGTGACTCGTTTCGTGGCTCGACACGTTTCCGTTTTGTCTCACTTTGAATCCTCTGAAAATGGTTCATATATGTTTATTTCTGACAAATTTGATATCTCTTTTGTCGTGACACTGTGCTCTAAATGATTTTCGTAAAGTCAAGTCGCGATAATCAAGAACTGCAGTTTAATTCCTAGTAATTAATAATATCAATCCATACTCGTTAGAGTGGCAAAAACTGGCACCAGTTTTTTCAACCATAATGCCGATGTGTAAAATTTGTTCGCAAACGATAAGTAGCCGGAATAGCCCAGGTCTTCAGTGCCAAGGTCGTTGCCAATTGTTTTTCCATTACAAGTGTGTTAAACTGCCCGCCACAATAACTGATGACTTATCGGCTGACTCTGTTTTTTTCTGGAAGTGCGCCGATTGCAGAGACAGCAAAGCAACCGAAGATCCAGATGCCATGAAAGTTCTACTAACGAAAATTGATTCGATGTTCAAAGCTATCGTAGATGTTAAAGCAAGTCAAACTGAATTTGCCCAATCACTTCAATTTTATGGCAACAAAATAGACGATTTCAATGCCCAGATGGAAACTGTGAAAAAAGTTATCAACACTGTTTTTTTTTTTTTTTTTTTTTTATCGCTTGGAGCGCACGAGAGGGAATCCCTATAATGTTCAAAGAACATCGTGCGTTCCTAGTTGAAACCATGAAGCAAGAAATCCAGCATTTAAACTCGGAAGTTTCCAATCTGAAGTACGATGTTGAGTGGTTAAATCAACAAGGGCGTTTAAATAACATTGAGATCTTGGGTATTCCAGAAACAACTGGGGAAAATATTCACAATATTTTGGATAATATTGCTGGAATACTTGAAGTTCCAATCACTAAATCGGATGTAACAGAGATTCATAGAGTCCAGTTGAACTCAGAAGCAGCTAAAAAATTCCCTAAGCCTGTCATAGTCAAACTGAACTCGACGGTTATGCAGGCAGCTCGAACGCACAGAAGAAATCTTACACTGAAGAATTTGAATTTCAGATCGGAAGATCCTGTATATATTAATGAGCATTTGTCCCCATTCTTCGAAACACTCCTCAAGAAATCTTGTATATTCTGCAAGGACAATGGTTTCAAATTTTGCTGGGTGAGGGATGTGAAAATTTTCGTAAAGAAAAATGAAAGCAGTAGAGTTATTCATGTTACAGGTGAGAATACACTCTCGAAACTCATATCATCACAGTAATAGTTGATTTTCCATTGGTGAACTTTTGTAGTATAAATTCCATCTTCGATAGAATAAAACTTTATTATCAAAATACGCGAGGACTCAGAACGAAAACAGAAGACTTTTTGAAGGCAACTAGTGTATCAACGTATGACGTCGTGTGTATTTCAGAAACATGGCTGAAAGGAGAAATATATAATTCTGAACTTTTTTCGGCTTCCTATAATGTCTACAGGAGAGACACGGATCCAAATATCAGTGGCAAGAAGGATGGCGGAGGAGTCATGATTAGTGTTCGGAGTGAGTTTGTGTCGAGCAGTGTATTTCCATTGCCTTTTTGTGGTATTATAGAAGATCTGTGGGTATCTATCGCATTGAATGGAGGAAAGAAAGTTTATATTGGATGCATTTACATACCACCGAGAGTAAGTTTGAATGACTTAATAATATTTTTTGAAAAACTGAGAACAATTATGAACAAAGTGGAACACAAAATTATTATCGTTGGAGATTTCAACATCCCTAATTTGAAATGGGAATTCGACCCCACATTGCAATCTTTCTGCCCGACCAACGCTATAGATGCCATCAGTGAAATCTTTGTTGATAATATATCACTTCTTGAACTAAAACAGTATAGTAATATCTGCAATTCTTATGATAAATGTCTTGATTTAATCTTTACTAATTCATTAAAAACTGATGTAACAAGATGTAGCGACTTCTTTGTACCGGAGGACGCACACCATCCTGCACTTGATATTACCTGTGAAGTATCGGAGATCAGGCTGATGATAAGTAACTCTTATGAAAAACTCAAGTTTCGAGATGCCGACTTTGATAGTATCAACAGTGAACTTCAGAAAATTAACTGGCCACTTCTATTTGATCATAGAGATGCTGAGGAATGTGTTGATATATTTTACAAGAAAATTGATCATTTAATCAACATTTTCGTTCCTAAAGTTATAGTTAGAAAGTCTGAATTTCCGATATGGTTTTCAAAAGGCACCGTGCAACTTTTGAAGAAAAAACAAAAATTGCATAATAAATGGAAAAACTATAAGAATCCTGATGACTATCAACGTTTCTCTAACTTACGCCAAATCACTAAGGTCAGAATGAAAAATGATTATACAAAATATATAAGAAAAACTGAAGATCACATGAAATCAGACTCTAAAGTATTCTGGTCTTTTCTGTCGAATAAAAGTACCTACTAATGAATCATTGCCCGCTTCAGTGAAACTTGAAAATGAAGCTGCATCTGATAATGAATCAATTTGCAATCTTTTTTCAAGGTATTTTAGTAGTGTTTATGAACCCAATTTCACCGAGCCAGATATTACACCTGTCCCAAACTGCTACAATAACTTCTCAATAAATTTCATATCAAGGGAACAGATCTTGAATGCTATCGATCGGTTAGACAGAAACAAGGGTCCTGGACCTGATAAAATTCCCGCACTTTTTCTTAAATCCTGTAAGAATGCCATTTCAACTCCTCTTCAACTGATTTTCAATAATTGCTTGAAACAAAGTACTTTCCCAAAAAATGGAAGATCGCTCAAATTGTACCTGTGCATAAGGCTGGTTGTAAAAATGACGTGAAAAATTACAGACCCATCTCTTTGTTATGTCACTTTGGTAAAATATTTGAATCTGTATTGACTAAGGAATTATTTTTCCTAGTTAAATGTAGTCTCAATGCACATCAGCATGGATTTTATGGTAATAGATCAGTGACTGCTAACTAACCTTTCGCCTTATGTACAAGAGATCTACAATGGAATGAGCGAAGGAGTTTCAACCTGTTCAGTGTACACTGATTTTTCTAAGGCTTTTGACAAAGTTCATCATCCAACTCTTGTCATAAAGCTCGAAAACTTTGGTGTGCATGGAAGCTTGTTGGGACTCCTGACCTCATACCTGAAAGATCGTTGTCTTCTGGGGTACCTCAAGGGTCACACTTGGGACCTCTGCTTTTTAATATATTCCTCAACGATATTGATGCATGTTTTCAACACACTAATATTCTATGGTACGCCGATGATATGAAAATCTTTAAGAAAATAAAAAATGCCAGTGACTACAATGATTTTCAAATCGATCTTGATAATTTCACGGACTACTGCAGAAAAAACAAACTCTTCTTGAACCTCGAAAAATGTCAACAAATATTATTCACGAGAGCACGAGACCCTATCCTCAGAAATCTTTCGTTATCAGGGCAAAATCTCAATGTCGTAAACAAAATCAAAGACCTTGGAATCATTTTAGACTGTAGGGACTAACACCCTCTATATGATATTCCAGAGTCAGTTTGATTGATAATACATCTGGGAATTGGAAACAAGGGAAGATGATAAAAAAATGATAGTTGTTTATAGGGTTATGTGACAGTGATAATAAAAAACGATTCATTCAAAAGTGTATCGTGTTTCAATAATTGGTGAACACCACCAAATTGGTGACCCCGACTAAGAACAGTTTACTTATTCAACCAAAATGCCTGACGAAGTGATTCCGCCGCAAGAAGCCAATTTTTCCATTGCTCGGGTGTCTGTGCGTGCTCCACCGTTTTGGCCAGAGAAACCAGCACTATGGTTCTCGCAGTTGGAAGGGCAGTTTCATCTGAGTGCAATCAACAAAGATGAAACCAAATTTTCATATATCATATCTCAGTTGGAAAGCCGTTACGCAGTTGAAGTGGAGGATATCATTACAAATCCGCCAGCCACTGGCAAATACGAAACGTTGAAACGTGAGTTAATTCAACGCTTATCAATATCTCAAGAACAAAAGTTGCAACGGTTGTTGGAACATGAAGAAATTGGTGATCGAAGACCATCGCAATTCCTTCGACATCTACGAAGTCTCGCAGGTACCAATTTACCGGACAATTTTGTTCGCTCTTTATGGCTAAATCGATTACCTAATCAAGTACGGGCAATTTTGGCTACACAAAGCTCCTCAACATTAGACGATGTCGCTCAACTAGCTGACAAGATTATTGAAGTGTCACCCAATTGTCAGATTGCAAGCATAACACCAAGTACCAGTAGTGGCCCTGAAATAGCATTACTCACAAAGCAAATTGAAGAACTTTCTCGGCAAGTTGCCTTGCTCACTGTTAAACGTCGTCCTCGTAGTGGATCCAGAGACATGTCGTCGTCCCGTTCTAGAAGTCGAAGCAAGAAGAGAGACGATTCGAAAATGTGTTGGTACCACGAAAGATTTGGTTCTAATGCGAAGAAATGTGTAACTCCTTGTACATATGTTCCGTTCACAGCAGATTCGGAAAAATAGAAGGGCAGCCGTATATCTCAGCGGTGAACGACTGCCCTAAGTCCAACCGCCTCTTATTAACAGATGTGACAACTAAAATTCAATTTTTGGTGGATACTGGTTCTGATTTATGCGTGTATCCCAGATCCTTCATGAAAACTCGACGTAACAAGTCGTCGTATGAACTTTTTGCTGCTAATGGTTCCGTAATCAGTACTTATGGAACAGTCTACCTCAGTCTCAATTTCAAGCTCAGACGTGAATTCACCTGGTGTTTTGTTGTCGCTGATGTTACAAGACCAATCATCGGAGTGGATTTTCTCGGTCATTTCAACCTCCTAGTAGATATCCGACATCAATGCCTCCAAGATCCTCTCACAGGAATATCAACTTTGGGTAAAATTTGTACAGATAAACATTCACATATCAAATCTATCTGTGGGGAATCAAAATTTCATGCATTACTGAACAAATACCCAGAAATTACTAAACCTGACGGAATCCCTAAAGATATCAAACATTCAACGATGCACCACATTCGAACTACGCCTGGACCTCCTGTAGCTTGTAGAGCTCGTCGTCTTGACAAAGGCAAGTTGGAAGCAGCTAGAAATGAATTCAATGCAATGGTCAAACTTGGAGTGGCCCGACCTTCAGATAGCTGCTGGTCTTCCCCGCTTCACATGGTTATCAAGAAAAATGGAGAATGGCGACCTTGTGGAGATTATCGGTCTCTGAATGCTCGTACTATTCCTGACAGATATCCAGTCCGTCACATTCATGATTTTTTCCAATTTCTGTCAAATCAGACAGTTTTCTCCAAAATTGACCTAGTGAAAGCTTACAATCAAATCAGAGTGAATCCAGAGGATATTTCGAAGACAGCCATCATTACCCCATTTGGTTTGTTCGAATTTCCATTTATGACCTTCGGCCTTCGGAACGCTGCCCAAACCTTCCAAAGATTCATTGATGAAGTCATTCGGGAATTGGATTTTTGCTATGCATATATCGACGATATTTTGGTAGCCTCATCGTCGGAAGAAGAACACCTGGAACACTTAGCAATTCTATTCGATCGTTTGAAGAAATACGGGGTGATAATCAATGTGAGCAAATGTCAGTTTGGTGTTTGCGAAATCGATTTCTTGGGATACAACGTTTCTAGCCGAGGATTAAAACCATTGGAAGAGAAGGTTGAAGCTATTCAGAAATTCCCACAACCAGGTACGGTGAAAGAGTTACGTAGATTTCTTGGGATGCTCAATTTCTACAGACGTTTCCTTCCGCATATTGCCTCGGATCAAGCACCTTTGAACACACTTCTCCAAGGTCGAGCTAAGGGTAACGACAGAATCACCTGGACGGATGAACTCATCCTTGCTTTCAACAGATGTAAGCTGAGTTTAGTTCAAAACACCCTTCTTGCACATCCAGAATCAAGGGCTATGCTTTCATTGGTGACGGATGCATCCGAAACTTCCATGGGAGCTGTACTACAACAACTAACAGCGGATGGATGGCAACCTTTATCGTTCTTCAGTAAGAAGTTATCGCCTGCACAGAGGAAGTACAGTACTTTTGATAGAGAGTTGCTATCAATTTACTCAGCAGTAAAATATTTCCGTCAT